GTGGAAGTTTATTGGACAACGCCGTCCATTTCTAACAATCGTGCTTTTGGGTGGGTGTGCATAGTGTAGTGTATATGGGAAAACTGTCCTTTGAGTGCCCCTGCATTTACAAATAAATGAGCTTTTTATTTCAATTCTGCCGTTGTTTAAGGAGATTTTGTAGTCTTTACCATAAGTTTTTCTATGTTCTTGATCTTGGCGTTCAGCAGTTATTGGAATTTTTGAATTTCGTTTTTCTGTTGCATTATACCTTTGCTAGCAGCACCGTAGTGTGTTGGAAGCGAGTAGATAGCAATAGATACATTATAAATTGGATAAATACGTCTATATTTACTGTATTTTTAGTATTACTTGTCAATGAGGCTCCACCGTAGACTCATGTAACACCTATAGTTGAATAAAATAAACGTCTCGAGCTTATTAAACCTTTATTTTGCCACATTTGGATGTTTCTATGGCGTATCTTATTGGTTTATTTTTTCCAATGGATTAATTCATCTGGCTAATTACCTTAGGGAAAATCGTTATGATTGTGCAACTCCAGTGTTGTTAATTCTATGGTGAATTGAGAGTTGGTTTTTTAATTCCTATTGCAATTCACCTCCTATATCTACTTTATCGTCTTTTTTAAGGTGTCTGGAAACTTGTGCCGTAAATCGGGTTGTTTGTTAATTTCATCATGACTGAGGTGGCTCCGGAAAACAAGCCAATCAACCCAAAGATCGGCATAATCTACCCTCCTCCAGAAGTCCGTAACATTGTTGATAAAACTGCCAGTTTCGTCGCTCGTAATGGACCTGATTTTGAATCGCGTATTCGACAAAATGAAATCAACAACCCAAAGTTTAACTTCTTAAATCCTACTGACCCATACCACGCTTATTACCAGCAAAAGGTGAAAGATTTCACCGAAGGTAAGGCTGTTGAGTCTCTTGGGATGCGAGTAACCGTCCCGTCTGCTGCTCGTCTGGGACAAGACGCTCCGAAAATCATCCAGGAAACATTTATTCCCAAGGATCCACCCCCCGAATTCGAATTTGTCTACGATCCGGCGTCTATTAATGGTCTTGATATTGACATCGTTAAACTTACTGCTCAGTTCGTTTCTCGTAACGGGAAACAGTTTCTTGCTCAACTGATGAATCGTGAGCAGCGAAACTATCAGTTTGATTTTCTTCGTACTCAGCACAACATGTTTGGATACTTCACGAAGTTGGTGGAGCAGTACACTAAAGTGTTGATTCCTCCTCGAGACTTAATCAGTGGCCTAGAAGAGGAGCTCAAGAACCCTAAATCGATTTTGGATCGCGTAAAGTACCGTGTGGAATGGCACAAGTATCAGGAGCGCCAGAGACGCAAGGAAGAAGAGGCTGCGGAACGAGAACGTCTTGCTTACGCTCAAATTGACTGGCATGACTTCGTTGTCGTGGAGACGGTAGATTTTCAACCGAATGAATCAGGCACTTTCCCAATGCCCACAACTCCAGAAGAAGTCGGGGCTCGTGCTATTGCTGACGAGCGTGGAGATATTTTACCTCAGCAGAACGAACCACCTAATAATGCACCTCCGCCACCGGGCTCTTTCGATCCTCTTCCAGATGAACTGAATAACATGGAAGATGAAGAGGAGGATTTAGATGAGGACCACCAAGAGGAGACATCAGTTATCCCCTCTGCTGTGCCAGTTCCCGAGGCTAGAGTTGAGCAGCACGAGGATGCAGTGGATGATGTTGGTGGTGAAGATATGGAACTGTCAGATGAGGAGGAGACCTCTGCTCCACCACCACAAGGTCAGCCTAAACCTCCTCGTCCTCTGCCACCCTCAGCTGATCAGGTCCTTATTCGTCACGACTACGATCCCAAAGCTGCTGCTGCTCACCGGGAGGCCACTGATGCACAGAAAAATCAGGTTCTTCTTGTATCTCCCTTTACAGGCGAAAAGATTCCAGCAAGTCAAGTGCCGAAACACATTCGTGTAGGTCTTCTTGATCCCAAGTGGTTAGAACAGCGAGATCGAGAGATAAGGGAGAAGCGTGAACAAGAGCATGTGTATGCTCCAGGTGCACTGATTGATAGCAACCTGAAGCAACTGGCTCAACGGAGATCGGACATTTTTGGTGTGGGCTCAGAGGAGACACAGATAGGGAAGACGCCAGAAGAGGCGGCCGGTGGAAAGCAGACAAAGTCGGACAAATTGATTTGGGATGGTCATGCAGCCTCTGCGGAGGTGGTAACCAAGCGAGCAAAGGACTACATTACGCCTGAGGATGTGAGAGCTCACTACGAGGCTGAGCAGCAGATGGAGAAGGAGCGAGCTAAAATTGGAGCACAAATGCCTTCGATAACTCCGTCGGCCGCACCACCACCATTCCTTATGAGTGCAGCGCCGCCACCGCCGCCGCCACCAGTGGGAACCGGGTTAGTGGGAGGCCTAGTCATGCCCCCCACCTTCCCACCTTTTATGGCACCTACTGGGATGATGCCACCACCTCCTCCACTCTCTTCGATCATGCCACCCCCGCCACCACCACCACCTATTTTGGTAAGCAACGGGAGTAACAGCGCGGAAGAGTCAGAGGCGAAGAAGCCGCGGCTGAGCGAGTGAATAGGCGCTTATGGCGTAACTCCTGTGTATTCAATGCTTTGTTCTATACATTCTGTTTAAGACATATTTGTTGCTTACTGGTTCTGGAGAACTTTCAAGTTTTCTCGAGTAATGCGGCTAAAAACAAGGCATTTTGTAGCGTGTTTAGTGCGATTTGCAGGATTCTAACAAGTAATTGTCTCCCTATCCTTCTTATTTTCTTAAGTTGGGAAGTTCCTTGCTTTTCCAGTACTAGATGCAGTTACGCGTGTTGATGGACGCAGTAAATGGTCAAGTTATTGTACTGGGTCACCAATACTCGCACTGTTCTCAAGGAGCAACTTGCACCTGTACGTTCAGTAAAGAAGTTGGTCCTGGTTCCTGTTTACTAGGTGATTTGGAGGCTTGGCGCGAAAATTCTTGAATGCATACGAATTGGTAGTCAGTTGTCGCGACCCAGGCTACATCTCTCCATAAGGGGGTAATTGTGCAGGTCTCACCCACCGCGCCCGGTCTGATTGTGTTGAGGCTCAAGGTCCATCGACGTCACTACCCAGGCAGGTGAGACCTGACCTAACTGAGTAGACTCCCATCGCATCTGCTAGGAGGGTTTTTACAGCAAACAAGGACTGAACTACTTCTCTCATCTCTTAGTCAATGATG